CCCCCCCGCGAGGTCATCCTCTCCAACCCGGACAGAACCCCCCCGCCCATCCCCAAGCTCCGCCCCTCAAGGGCCGCTCACCTTTTGATCTGCTCCTCAATCTGCTTGACGAGAAGCGATTCTCCTCCGTTGAGGCTGGTGGCCGCCAGGGCTGGTCCGGGGCTCAGGCCGCTGGCTTCGGCAGCCCCGTTCAGCTCCATGGAGCAGCGGCCCAGCAGAGAGCGGACGCGCTTGGAGCGCATGTCCAGGATGGTGTCGGTGTAGCCCACTTCCTCCAAATACCTGGGAGGGGAAGAGACCCCGGGGTCCGAGGGAGGGAGGGAGGGAGGCAGCCTTTAGTCCCACGGGAGGGTTGGCAACTGGCAGGCACGCTTCGACTTGCAACCAACCAAAGTTATGACGGGGCCTCTCTGGACCTGGCTCCGAACAACCGACGGCCCCCAGCCTCCCCGGTCATGTGACCACACTCTGGGTGCTTGGCAGCCGGCCTGCCTTTACGTCCATTAGCAGCATCTCGTGGTTACACGACTGTGATTTTAGCCCGGGTTTTGCTGGAAACCGGCACTTCCTGTTTCCAGCAAACTGGCCTGTGGCCAGGCACTGCTTTGCTTAACGACTGCCACGCAAATCACATCTTAAAATCAGACTGGACCCGTGGCTGACGCACCTTACGAACACCCTGCCTTTATTTATTTAGAAGGCTTTACATTTACTCGTTTATGAGACTTAACGACCGTGATGGGCAGGCTCCCTTCCGGTCACAAGTCAAGGACTACCTGCAAAACGTTTTTGAAACAGCCCAGTTTGGCTCAGAGGTCTCTCCCAGCCAGAAAAGGACCGGGGTCCTTCAAGCAAGGATGGAACAACTCTGTCCAATTTGAACCTGGCACACTTCATTTGGGTGACAAGGAATCTGACACGCCCTTTGCTAAAACTGTCCAAAAACAGCTGCCCCCCCCCGCCCCCCAAACCATCACTGGGGAGGACCGGTGCACTTCCCCTCCCTTAGGGGGAACCCCCCTCCCCCCAGAAAGCCACCGCTACTCACTGACGGAGGAGTTGGCGTCCTTCTTTCCAGATGAACGGGCTGTTCTCCAGGGAAAGGGGCTCCGCTGGCCCGTTGGACACTAAGCGTAAAAGAGAGTCCCATCAGCGTGTCCCTCGGCTCCGGGGCCCACCCAACAGCAGCCCTGGGACCCCCTGGCCGAGGTGCAGCCCTGAGCCCGGACCCACTACCTGGTTCAGAGGCCTCTGGTTTCTTTTCTCCCTGGTTCAGGTCCGTCCCGAATTTCAATTTGTGGTATTTTGACCTGGAATTAACAAGGGAAGCTGAGGAAAGGATGGGGGATGCCAGCGGTAACTTCTCCCTGTGTCCCTTAAAGTAGGGAATGGCTTCTAACCGAAGGGCCGACGTCATAGAGAGGATGTTGAACAGTGAAGGCGCTGGCCTAGAAAACAGGGGGCTGGGAGTTCTAGTCCTGCCTTAGGCACGAAAGCCAGCTGGGTAGCTTTGGGCCAATCACCAGGAGACCGTGAGTTCTAGTTCCACCTTAGGCTTGAAAACCGAATGGGTGACCTTGAGCCAGTCCCTCTCTCTCTTTCACTTCAACCCACCTCACAGGGTTGTTGTTGTAGGGTGAAGGAAGTTGTGTTGGATATTTTCACCGCCTTGAGCTACTTATAAAATGAAGGCAGGATAAGCTTTTAATAAATAAATACACATACACACGTACTGTGAGGATATTTAAAAAGGAGAGAATCCCTCAAGAGCATCTTCCCTGCTTCCCAAATTCAGGTGTTGACTTCCAGCTAAATAAATTAAGGCAGGAGTCTCCAAACTTGACAACTTGTGGACTTCAATTCCCAGAATTCTCCTATCCTGGCTGAGGAGTTCTGGGAATTGAAGTCCACAAGTCTTTAAAGTCGCCAAGTTTGGGACCCCTGAACTAAGGGGAATCTACACCCCGCCTCTGAATCTCCACCTGGGACAGCCTGGGGGGGATGCGACACCTGCGAGGCGGCTCACCTTTCTTGCTTCAAAGCATATTCCAGCATCTTGATTCTCCGCACGAGGTCGGCCTTCAGGTTCTCCTGACCCTTCCTCTCGCCCTGCAGGAAAGCCACTTGGGCCTAAAAGAGGCAGGAAGCCCAAGTTAAGGACAGGCCATTCTGACCAGCTGCACAAACATCCCGCATCAGACAAATAGTGTGTGTTAGGAGGAGCATAAACCCATAGTAGAGCATCCAGTTCTGATCACAACAATAAAAGATGCTGAGACTCTAGAAAGTGTGCAGAGAAGAGCAACCAAGAGGACAAGAGCTTTGGGGGCTAAATTGTAATAGTTGAGGGAGCTGGGCACGCCTAGCATCTATGGATGAGAAGGAATAAGGGGGACATGATAACTGTCTTCCTGTACTTGAGGGGCTGTCACAGAGAAGAAGGGGTTGTGTTATTCTCCAAAGGAGGAGAGGACAAGAAGTAATAGGTGAAAGCTTGATAAAAAAAGAATCAACTATGGAGAAATTTTCTGACAGCGAGTAGAATTAATCAATGGAATAGCTTGCCTCCTGGTGCTCCACTGCTGGAGGTTTTCAAAAATAGACCCAACAACCATTTGACTGAGATGGAATAAGATCTCCTGTCTTGACCAGGGGGTTGGACTAGAGGTCCTCTAGTCCCCCTTCTAGCCCTAGGGTTCTGTGTTCAGTGAAGTTCAGTGTAGAGAAACACTTCTGACCTTGGCATTTGCCTGGTTTTCCTGCTAATAATAGATTAGATTAGATTAGATTAGATTAGATTAGAATAGAATAGAAT